GGTCCATCAAATTAAACGAGACATAATTCACTACCTAGCACTTTACATAGATAGTGTCCTGCATCTATATCTTTGTAACCGCCTCAATTTTTTAGAAATTAGCAAATCCGAATACTCAAAATATCATAGATCCAGGAACATTATTCATGAATCCGCCAAAATCTTTGCGTTCTCAAGAATAAAAACCCAGCACAAACTGTGACTTATGATAAGCCAAACTTGAATGGGTGAAAAATATTTCTCAAACATAATTAATCTGAAATTAAGTAAAAGCAAGAGACTATGTCTGAATATCTTTCAGATAGAAAAAAATAATTTCATTAGAATGATCGACATTAATTATTGGCATAGACTTGAAAAAATCAGCCGTGAAAACATTCAGAAGGACCCAATAACCCTACGTATGCGTTTGACAGTTTGCTGCAAGCAGACACGATCCACGCGATGGCTTGCCGTAGTCTTGTCTGTCGCTCTTTTGTTAACAGGGCTTTATTTAGCTTAGTCACCGGAGGTCACTGATGCAGCGACTATTAAAATGACTCCTTGGTGATTGCCACTACGATGTGGTATGATATGGATCATCGAGGATCAAAATTATGTGACTCTTTGTGGTCGTTTGTCCAATCACGCGAGAGTATTTCAGAAAAAGGGGGTTCCCCAAGTTTGGTTCTTCTTGCCGCATAAAAACAGGTCATGACACGTGCCCAAAATAACCTAAGCTCAAAAACTAGACTCTTAATCAATGGATGATTATGAATTCTGACCAGTTTGTTGGTGAACTTGGAAGGACTTGGACAGAGAGACAATTTTTTATTCGATTAATAGTTTTTGAATTCGCTTGGTAGTTTTTTTGTGAATTTGAATTCGGTAAAATTGTAAAATTCGTAGCTAAGAGTTTGTGTACAATTTTTGAATATAGTTCATTCTCGTGAACAATGGTACATGTATTATGATAAAAGGGATCCTTAATTATTATGTTTGTTATAGAGTGAGTATTAAAGACTATAAACCGTGAATAACATTGATTGTACAACACTGATACTTTGTCGTTTTATTTCGTTATTTTTGGATTCAAATCATACTTAAGTTTGAGTACTGTAGTGTGTGCTGCCACGTTTGAAATAAGTAACGAAAGTATAATTTAGACCAACTTTTCTTCTATAAGGTCTTATAAGTTTTCTTTCACTGAATAAAGTTTGACGGACTCACTCTTAGACCACTCAGACCTGAACGGGTGTATACTAAACCTGCACTAGGCCATGGCCCAGCATATGGCCTAGCCTATGCATGGCCCACCCTAAATTTTCTACTGTAATGTTGCCGAAACACGAAAAATGTAAAATCAATGCGGAAAAAAAAAGAAAAAGTTGACACATACGGCATGTACCAAAAGAAAAACTTGAGTAAAAGCATAGAACGTAATTCCTTCTGACTGGAGAGATACTACTTCGATCCTTCTTTGGATTAGTCGACACTCCTAAATTCAAAGACAACGCATGGAATGTCATCATTGTTTAACCGCCCAGGGTTCGTTATGTTTCATTTTGGCAGGGGTGGGGTGGACTTCCTATGATGCCCTATACGGGGGAGACTCCGCAAAAAAGGGGTACTTTTCTCAGGCTTAACTTTTTAAAAAGGCGGGTGAGGATGGCCTTCAATTAAAATATTTTGAACCCAATACACCGGTTGGCTGTACCAATTTAATCTATGAAACGAGGAAAAGAGGATTTGCTGTTAGCAGGAGCCCAGGCTCCTGTTGTTAGTACGTGCGTGTAAAGGGCATCATTTTTAATTGGAAGGTATTCGAATTGAGGAAAGGAGTGCCTTTTCTGTCATAAAATGTAACTATAAAATTGGGTGAAGGGTTAGTGAAACTTCCCCAAATGAAACCATGTTGAGTAGCCCCACCTACCTCCCTTAAGGTGGCGCTATCTTGATCTTTTCACGCCTAGACTAAATCTTATAATTATGAGCTCTGCCCGATTTTTGCTTTATTCGCACGATGCTACGACATTAGCACTTCAATCTTACCCAAGCCTTAGGCAGGTGAATACAGAGGAGGGGGGTGGAGCAGAGGGCCATACATATGATCAGCCTATCGAGGGTTTCTTTCTGAATATTCACTCCAAATAAAAATAAATTAGTTGAAGAGCATGGTGGTCAATAGGACTTTGCGGAAAAGAAATGCCTTCCAAGCCACCTTTGACATTACTGTTTAATCTTATTACTATGACTGGCATTTCCCCATACAACTGATCGAGTTCATCACTCAAATGCAGAATTCATTCTTTAAACAAGTAAACAATCAGATTGCGGTTGAAAAGATATCCGGTTGTTTCTCGAGTCACCTGTTTATAATTTCTCCAGAACTTACATCTGAACTTTTAAAAGTGGTTTAAAGAGTTTACAGGGTTAGTTTTCATGACTAGCCGAGCGGTGTTTAGAAGTAAGAAAGAGGTCGCGATGCCGCGTAGCAAATGCGTACTTAGAGGAGTTCACGCTAAGAGTTGCATCATGGGTAATCAGGGCAAGATGGCGGGAAATCAGAAGACTTGCATTAGAATTCAAAGACAGCTAATTCTTTCTGAATTCATATATTTCATGCTTTCTATTTGAAAAGAATAACTCACGAGTTCAAAAAAACAATACACAAAATCTGGAGAGCAAAGAAGTCCGTGATCAGTTTTTAAAAAACCTCAACTTTTCCATACATTTTCTGTAATTTTGATTCTGTTAAATCACAGAAAAATGCTTGAGAAAATCAAGGTTTTCGAAAAACTGAAGTCCTCTTGTCATTCCCGTGTAATGTTTAATAAACTAAAATGATATAACCATGAGGCGCGGCTTTTAAAAAATTTAAACTTTAGGTGACCCCGTCATTAACACAGGCGCGTTGAGCTATGACTCTAGTCCAGTTTCGGCCCTCTAAAGCTACGGTAAAACGCGGGCAACAAGAGCTTTCAACTCATTTTGCAACATTGCTGCAAGACAAAATGCACGTTTTACCACCCACGAATCAAACCTGTCTTGCAACATATTAGGTTGTTGCAAGTTGCTTGAATACTGGCTTCTGATTTGCGCAACTTGCAACTACCTGAATGGTTGCAAGACAGGTTGGAACGTGGCAAGTAAAACGCGCAACATCGCTATTCAACTCGTTTGGCAACAAGTTGCAAGTTTTTGTAGCAGGTTTTACCGTACATTCACGTAGCGCTTCCCTTTTTTTCAAGGGACAGTCGTCTGCGCATGCCTGAGAGAGAACAATCATAATAACTCAAACGTCAGAAAAACACACGACAAATTCAGAGAAGCCTAGCTAAAAGCAGCATGAATGGGCAAAACCGAGGGAGATTACTTGTAAACCGAATGCATTTATTTAGTAAACCTCGTCTTTTTCAAGTTAATTTATTTTGTATGAAGGCGGACCCGGTTTAAATGCACGGAGATCATCAATATTATTTGTGTGCTTATTTTTCGATAAACGGCGACGCGTTTCTTTCA